ATGTGTGTACGGGATCTGGGTATCGTCTGTGAATAACCCAGACCCCACCATCTCATGATTGTATGTGTGTGGAGTGATGCCATGTAGGTCAGTCTATGTGAGTCAGTCTATGTGAGTCAGTTCGTTATCAGACTTCCGCTGCATAAATGCTCATCCTATATTGGTTGATCTTTGGTTCTGCCCATACTCATTGAAGTATGTAACACCCTGCTTCCACGATATTCTGCTGCAGATTGGCGGTCAATGGTTGACTGCCCGGATATCTTCAATCAGGTTTCGTTCAAGTGAGTCTGTTCCGTATATTTCCTGGTCCGACGTCGGACCCTGTCTGTGTCTGCCAGCGTCTGTCAGTCGTTAGTCCATTTGCAGTCTAGATCAGATCGGTTGTCAGTTAACGTTTTGGCTGTTTCTGACCCATCTCTATGTTTGTTTTGATCTCATAATGGAATTGCTTTGACCTATCCTGGCTTGATGTGATTGCCTGCCAGTAGGGCAAGTGCCTACTGTAAACCGTGTCTGTTTCAGCCGCCTATTTCGGTCTGTCAGTCAGTCCTGTCTGTTGGCAATTACTATACGCAGTTAGAAAAGTGTCAGTCCGTTAATGTTGACTTCTGCCTGCGCCAGATGTAAGGTCCTTAGTCGAATGGCGTATTCCAATCTTGATTAGAGCAACGAATGCAGACTGCATTTGCCGTTTCTGAAATCCGCTCCGCTTTTATTTATTTTTTCCCCCTTCTGGTTGCATAAATCAAGTATATCTCTCCCTTGCTGTGAAATGCTGATGGTTGTGGGAAGGCTCTTTTGGGAGCCTGATCAGAAAATAAAAGTTTCCATTTCTTATTTGGTTGTGGGTTTAGTTCAAGTAATTTGTTGACGGTTTTGGCTGTTGGGGTGAGCCCATAACCTCTCGTACTGTCTCTTGACATTTGGCACTAGCTTGCCGTATTCCCCATACTACTAAACAACTGCAAGGCACAAGGCCTCGATACGCCCTACTTGGCCCTATTTTCAGCACAGTCGGCCGCCCCAAGTGAAGGCAGGCTCGACCGAGGCCTACAGGCCATTTTGGGGGTCACCACGAAACTGGGGAAATTCAGGCAGTTGCGCAGCGCCAGTTGGTTGAGAGCGGCCAGGCCCAGGCCGCATCTTTTCAATGTAACTGAGGCAGGCCCTGGGCCAGATTCACAACGTCGACCAGACACAGGCTGCGGGCAGTTGGATACGGGCAACCACCGCAAGCCCAGGGCCTGAATTGTTTGGACTGGGGCTCAGCCTCTCTGGGCCTACCGGAAGCTTCTGGGCAGGGGCCCAGCACAGCCAAGCTGCACGCAAGCAGGCAGGCCACTTCCATTTAGGAAAGTGCCTACGCATTCGGCATTCGGACACTGGCTGCATGCTGCGCTAACGCTGGCCAGCGCTCACACACTCACGGGCGAGCTGGAAGGAGCAGGCAGCCATAGCTGAGCTGCGCTGCTGTATGCTGGATGGGGCGCATGGTGGTCCTTGGGGGCATGTGGCATCTGTGAGTTGGGGAACGAGGTTGTGAGTGATACAAGAGACATACCTGGTGCTTGAAGCGTACGGCATTGGCCGAGATCTGCTCGTACTTCGGGGAGCTGTTGACGTCATCGGCGGCATTGTAGATTAGGCTAGATAGGATCTGCTATCTGTAGTCTGGGCGCCGAGCGCCAGATAGGATATCGACATTGGTTCTTCGTTGATGATGATGAGACATTCCAACATTGTCAATTTTGAGCTCTTGCTGTGTTCTTATTTGGTGGAAGTCGTGATGCAATTCTGCTATTGGTTCGAGGACACGACTATCTGGTCTCATGTGTATGATGCTGTTTGATTTCTGAAATTCGCTATCGCTCATTTTCCTTGCAATTTGGTATCAGAGTTGTGGTACGGTGCGCTTACCCGACACTTGTCTTCTGCCTTTGCGGTACATGCACGCGGTCTGCTGGGCGAGCCACCGTGGGAGGTGTGTAGTGAGGAGGGTGGAGACAAGTGTGGCGACCCAGGAGGTGAGGGGTATCGCGAGGAAGGCTACGTGGTGTATATTGGGTGTTCGCAGTGTGATGAGAACTATTCAATGTGTGATTGATGCTGAGGTGGAACGACTGTGCAATGCTGGTTGTGCCGAGGCAGCGATTGGTCATTACAATCAACATCAGGTCATCTGGTGAGAATATATGTGGTTGGGGGCAGCTATTTTGAGGTACGTTGCACCTAACCTTATCTACTCTCTTCGACACCTCTTACCGTGAGGATGTGTGTTATGTCTAGAGAGTCCTCTAATGTGAGGAGTCGTGTGCGTTCAACCTTGAGAGTCGTCAACCTTTACGTGGAGCATCTGAAAGGAGAGGGCGGTGCTATCTGAAGGGCCTTGGATGAAGCACTGGGTCACGGTCACCATGCCAACCCACCGGGAGTGTAGCGGACCTCAGGTTGGCCTGTGAGACCAGCCCCTTGGGCTATTCTCACAGGCCTGTGTTATATTCGGGGTAGGCCAGTCCAGGCCGGTACCTCTGTCG